CCCCCCCCCCCCCCCAAATAAAACAAACACAAACATGTTTTTGGAAACTTGGTTCATTTCCACATGGAAGGTAAGGAGATGAATTTTATATCATGCATGAGAATGTCATTAAATTCCAGTACCACTTAAGAAATTAAAACATCAACATACCAAATTATCATATGCCAGTTAACTTGTGTCTTCTCATATACTGCTTAAGGACCAGTAGGAGCAGTCTGTTTGAATTTCAATAGAATTTACATTCTCAGGTAGTCAGCTTTGTCCAGAATATCTTTTCACTTCCAGGACTGGCATACAGAAGAGAGATTGTATCTCATGAGGTCCAGTGTCTTGGTGAACAACTTAATTGTATTTGAAGAGGTACTTTTGGCTTTACAAATAGCATATTCAAATAAAGCTGCTTCAAGGTGAATTCATTTGCCTACAAAAACACTGGTGTTAAAGTCATGCATATGTGAAAGGCAAGCTGTATACAGGGGGAAAAAAAAAATCTACATTCACTACATGAAATGGTCTGAATGCAAGTTATTGATCTAATAAACATGCCTACTTTCTATTTGATCTGTTTATTTTTCAGATTCAGGATGACTGGAAATACGTTGCCATGGTAATTGATCGCATTTTTCTATGGGTTTTCATCCTGGTATGTATTCTAGGAACAGCAGGATTGTTTTTGCAGCCTTTGATGGCTGGAGATGAAATGTAAAAATTCAAACGGTATGTTAAAAAACCAAACCAAACTTTTGCCAACCAAACCTTTTTTTTCCCCTGCATCTGATGTCTCTTGTATGTGTTTCACTAGTAGAATAAGGATCTCTCTTAGCCTCAACTTTGCTTGACCAAGGTGGCTTTATTAAAAATGCGAAAAAGTCTGTTTTTAACTGTTATGACAGCTGATCTCAAGGCAACATGCTTGAGGCTTGCTAGTTACTTTTTGTAGTAACTGGAAAAGATGTAGGTAGTACATTAAAATTTATAGGAATACTTTACAAATGGTTTGATAAAGAAACTGATAATTATATAGATAGTCTGAAGGTTGAGACAAGTTCAATACTTGGGCTACCAGATTTATTTTGAGGAGTCTGGTGCTAAGTCTTTTCACAGCACAAGAAGTTCTTCTGGCAATAAGTTCATAATTAGTTCAATGAATGTCCCTACAATGATGAAGCAATTTAGAAAGCTTATCCATTGAATCGTAAGAATGCAGAACATTGCCACCTGGTGTATAAACAATAACTCCAATTGTGAGAGGAAAGGACCATGGGCAGGATTATTTACAGAAGGAAAACGAGTATGTGATTAATAGATGATAATAAAACAGCCAGAATACAAACTCTGTGCTTCCCCTATTTTCACTATATAAAAAGACTGTCAGAAAAACATCAAGCTGTTCAGACCTAATAACGTTTTAAACTGTATAAAGCACACAATAAGATGCAGTCATTGGACTTTCCTCCCTTCCCATGGCCAGCCTTTCCTCCTGGCTCATGGCCTGTCTCCTAATAGAGTCTTGAGGTACAGCTGAAGCCAGCTGCAAGCTGTGCCTAGAATGGCACTTTGGGAGGTTTAACCCTTTTCTGCCAAATATTTTTCAATTATTATTTTAACTACAGAGGAGGGGGTAGAAAGGAAACGGAGAATACAGCGGTATGTGTGTGTATGTATGTATGTATGTGTGTGTGTGTGTGTGTATATATATGTATGTATGTATATGTATATGTATATATTCCCTTGAAAGAGGGAAGGACTTTTAGTACCCTTGGCCCTTGATTTCCCATCAAGGGAAAAGATCAAAATACCATAGGATAGTTTGGATATGGAAGCAGCCTGCTACAGCAAAGTGCTTTACTATGTGGGAAGGCAGGCAAATACAAAGTATTCCTGTAAAGTATGCTAAAAATTACTTCTTAGGCATACTTAAAAAAAGTCTGTAACTACAGATAATTTGAGTGCATGAATAAACAGTGCAATAAAATACTGTAATGAGTAAACATTTTGTAAAGTTATGAACTGTTCTCTCTATGCCAAACTGGAAACTTTTTGGAAATACAGTGGTATCAAATGATGCGACATTTATGAAAATAAAGAGAATCAAGCTGATGAAAGTTGTGATTTTTTTCATTTATTTTGACCGAGTGACAAAAGCTATATAAAGGAGCACTAGCAACAGTTCCGCACATTCAGGTACCAGTTACGTAAGTCCACACTTCTGAGTCTGTTAAAGATTATTTTGGTTCAGACACACCCGAGGATGAGCTGAAGACCCTAAAGATTCTACCGTAAGCTTTTATCCATATATTCCATGATCAGTTTCTAGAAATGACAGAAAAACTTTCATACATTTGCAAAAAATTGTTAGTTACTAGTATAAAGATTGAAATTCCATTGGCTAATATGCTGCCAAACAAAATTACGATATAATTTGGCAGTCTACAGCCATCATTTAGCAACGGGAAAACAGATGCGGGGGGGAAGGGGTTAGAAATACATCACTAATCTAAACCTTTCTTATCTGTTTGGGTAATAGTAAACTTTCATAAGTAATTCAAACCCAGTGAAAACTAGAAAAGAAACTTTGCATTTGAAGAGGAAATAATAGATCTGAAGTATTTTTTGCAGTTTCCACACACAGGAAGTGACTGATGCACTGGTGTATCTTAACAATACTGAGAAAGGTAAAAGTTACGATATTAATGGATTAAAAGTCAGACTCACTCTCACTGCAAATTCACTTTTAAGATGAATTATGAGGAGGAAACACTGATCTCTTATGCCAGATGCAACTATACAATCAAAGAAGAGTAACTCACTTTTCAGTCGAAAGTATTTGTAAATTGAACAAAAATATGTCAGTCTGCATCATTTCCCTGCCTGTAAGCCTTAAAAAGCTACATAAAACCAAAATCATCTTACAGGTGAAACAATCTGAAATAAATATTCAATTATATGTAAGTTATGACATAAGCAAACAGCATTATAGTCACTACAATGCCAAACAACTCTTATTCTAAAGAAGATACAACGAGGAAAATACAGAGAAAAATATGATCCTGCTTTTCCAAGTCCATAACCACTTACCGTTACCAAAGATTTACATTACATTTTTACATAAACATGAATGTTGTTAATAATAGAGTTATTCAAACAAACAAAAACTTCCCAAGATTTGTTCTTGTTTGCCTTACTATATTAGCCCTCAGGGATACAACTATGTTATGAAATACATTGTCAGAAACTTAAATATACAGAAAACTCCATTTATTTTAAAGTTTGTTCCGGAAATGTAACTTTTCTTTAAGAAAGGTGGCATTGAAATGAATTTATATTCTTTAAAAACTGAATTTAAATTCTTTATTTTCATGACATGATTAAAAAGTTGTAATACATAAATATACATCTTTGTCAACACCCTCAGAAAAGAAAAAGTAGAGAAAGACTCATCTATAAGTCCTTGCTATTCCAAGTTACATATGATCCAATAAGCGAGAGGACCTATAAGGATAGTATCATAAACTCATTTTAAACAAATATTATTGATAAATTTTCACACATTTGTTTACACAGTCTAAGAATTTTCAAATGATTTTCTTCAGAAAGGCATTCCCCCAATTCCTGCTAACTGGGCTTACGAACTTCATTTTGAGAAATAAAGGTAGGGAAGGAATATGTTTGCAACTAAAATATTGCATCAAGTTATTTATCAAGAATAAAGAAAACTGAACATTCTGGTCTATTACTTGTGCAACTTGGGCAAGTCATTTAATTGTCTTTGCCTCCCTTGCCACAACTGATATGGAGGCATCAATATGCACATATCCTCTAAGCATTTTAAGGCTTACTATATTAGGTGTTCACATTAGTATTATAGAATTAACAAGGTTTTAAGTTTTGCAGAAATTTTTGCAGAAAATTTCACTGAAAATTTATGAAGGCAAAATGCAGCCATATCACTATTTTTATTTATATACTGAATATATGGTAAAGTTCAACGGATGTTTACATTATTGTTTCCAACTTTCCCTGTAGAAACCTTACACTTTACAACACATTCAAGAGGACTTATGCCAATAAAACCCTCCTTTGCATGCTCTAATAACTGAAAGAAGCAACTCGATTGCATAAGTATCTGCAAATATTTAATACTCAGTATAATACTTCACATAATATTTTAATAACTGGACTACAGTGATCCTCCTCTTTAAAAATTTTTAAATTCTTGTACTTCTCAGTAGGTGTCAGTGTATACTTTTTTGACATATTGTACATGCAAGTGTTTGAGAAGGTCTTCTCGATTCTGACCAGATTTAGAAGCGAATTAGTAGACTAGCACTAAGCAAATTGACTTCCTTGTGTCCTAGGATGCCATGCTTTAACATAAGCATCATTTTCTGTTCTTGGATTTTTTTATTCTATCAGAAACATACCTGCGAAGAGCAGGGATGGAAACAGAGCTACTATGGACCTTTATAGAGCCATGTTAGCTGCAGACTGATCCAAAAATATCTTATGTATGTGCACTTCCTATATGCATAGGTACTATTATATTTGCCCATTTATGAATAACAGGAATAAATAACACAAGTGATCCAATTACTGAAACCAGAAGAAAAGTCCATAAGAACATTCGATCAAGCACCTGAGCAATAAATTTCCAGTCTTCAACAACCTAAAAAACAAAGAACATGAGTTGTTCAGTGTCTGTGAGAACACAGCATCAAACTCCTGCATTTCTTATTCAGATCCCTTACAGTAGACATTCTTCAACCTGGTCAATTTAACAACCCCTTCTT